GAATTCATTTTCATCCTGCATCACAATTTATGACATATGCACAAGTTACCCATCTCAAATCTCTGCATATGTTGAGGATCTATTATTGCCCAGGTCAACACCTATAAGAAACATTGAAGGCTAGTTTTTATTTTCTTCCTTCATATACTTTTAATTGAGACTAAATGAAGATTAATGAGCTAAAACATTGCACAGATTAAATGCTTCAGCAGACTAACATGTAGAAACGAGTACAAGTTTTAACAATACCCAGTAGTTGGAACAAAGATAAATCAATTTATCCTAAACACATTTGGTAACTAAAAAAGTATATAAAACATAAAGCAGGCAGAAGTTGGTATAAATAGGGCTAAATGGGTTGGTTGTAATGCAAACATCCTTGTGTGGTCCATGCCCAATTCATCATTTAGCCCTTGTTTGATCCCCATTCTTTGGAGAAAATGAATTCTTCAACAGTATTTTGACATAATTTCAACCACACATTCTTCAATAAAATAATATTACACGTAAATCCAAAATTTTTCCTTATTTTTTAATCACAAATTTCACATCAATACACTATTCAAAAATTTATTTTTCCCATCAAAATGGGCTCAAACAAGGGCTTAGACATTATTGTCATCAAAATCAGGTAGATGAAACAAGTTGCAAAGATTAAAATCAATCAATAAAAACAATTTACCATATTGCTTCTAGGGTTTGCAGCAGAGTAACACTTACTTCCTGAGCCTCTGGGCCAAGGGAGAATTACACTTAACACACGTTATAAAACAAATTTAACAGCAAACTAGTTCATAGATAAACAAGCATCTAATCAGGCTGGAAAAAACCAACTAGTGACTGATAAACAGCCAGATCTACCAATACCAACAACATCAAGGTAAATATCACAACAGACTCAAGCACAATCAATATCAAGAAAATTCATATTAGTATATTGCTTCTAAGGTTTCCAGCAGATCAGGTCGACGGCAAAACCAAGTCAAATATACACAAGCATGTAATTAAACTGAAAATAAAAAGAAACTAATGACTGATAAAGCAGCTGGATCTACCAAATATCAACACCATCTATGTACAATATTACACTAATCATTAACCACAATCAAATTCAATGGATAATCACAATTTACTAAATTATTTCTAGGGTTTGCAGAACTTACTTCCCGTGCCTCTGCACGAAGGGAGAATTCTTCGCGTCCTCCTCTGCCAACAACAACATCCATCACATTATAACAATCGGAAAAAGAAAATATGTCTGCACAATACAGTAAAATGGAAAATTAGAGTAGATTCAGACCGGTTAATCCGAGGGAGAACTTGGTGATTATGGTTCCAGTAACGGCGAATCCGACAAGGAATGGCCAGTTTCGTTTAAATTCTCTCCTGAAGAACACCGGCCATGGATCGAATTTCCTCATTTTTGGCGATTTTGATTTATTTTCTCTCGTCTGTTATTCTTTCTCTTGTTTTGGATTTTCCGAACTTTCAATTGATACTAATGACCTCCAAGGGAGTTATT